TCCCCTTGCCCCATACCCCTCACCATTGCCATTCCCATCCGAATTTCCGTTTTCGTTTTCGTTTCCATGTTGCAGGGAATGGCAGGGGCAGGGGCAGGGGCAGGCCAACGCAAGGCAACATTTTTGTTTGTAATTTACTTGGGAATGCAGGCGCCTTCCACCGCCTTGTGCTGCGGTTTTCTAAGAAAAATCTTTTGTGTTCTCGCCATCAGACCCAGCCCAGTTCCACTCTACCTTCCTCCCTCCCTCCCCCATTGGATGAGCTGTAAGCACCGCGCGCGCATTTGGGGAGTGCCGGCGGCGATTTAGTAATTGCAGTGGGCCCCCTAACTGTGACCGCTGACAGGCAAATCAAGTGTCACCCAAATGCTCCAAATGCGGGCTGCAAGTCGAGTGGCACAGGGCCAAAGCATTTTGCATATACAGCACCCCGTGGAAATGGAAATGGGATGTGGGGATGTACTACATGTAGGCGTGGCTGTTGCTGCTGCTGTCGCTGCTGCCATGCGGGTGTTCTTTTAAAGTGTTCTCTGCTTCAAGTCTCTGCGCTCATTTCCGCTGCAATAAATTTCATTCGGCACGGCACTTTATTTCCAGTTTAACTTGAAAATTGGCACTGGCCAGCACGAGTATTTTCCCACCAACAAAGTGGTAAATATTGTACCGGACTGGCGCATACCCTAAGCTGGCAGTGGGCAAGCAAATGGCAAATGGCAAAGGGGAAATCGGTATCGGTATCGTTCGGCATGGGCTAAGTGATCGAGTATTTGTGTTTGTTTGTTTGTTTGCTGTTATGATGGCAGGAAGCTCATCCCATTGTTTGGCCCATTAGCGCCTCTCAACACTCTCTTTGTTTGGGGCATATGCTCCCCCAAACACAATGGCAGCGCCCAGCAGCCACACATGTCCTTTAATACTCCTTCTACATTCACAAGTGCCACAACAATGACGCCATATGCATATGCATATAGGTACATACATATGTATGTGGACAGAGGACAGAGATTTGACCGACCCGCAGTCCAACCTGAACAGACAGAAGCAACAATGGGCTCACCAGGAGACCAGGAGACCTGGCCAGCGGTTCACTGCCACTGATCGACAATGGGAATACCTTGGGACATTAATCGCAGAGCTTTGTTTATTTATATTTATATGTGATCATTATATTCTATTTTGTCTTGGAAAATAAAACGAAAGAAATCCATGGACTGCCCCATCTATGGATTGTTTATGCTTTCATCTCAGATCTCAAATACAAATCCCGAACTGCGAGCACGGATCTGCACTGGGGCAAATCAAAGGACAGGCAGTCAATTGATTCAGTTCAGTTCTTAATTTAATTAGCTTAAAATTTAATGCCGCCTGGCAGTCTGCAACATCAAGCTGGCAGCCTTTAAGGATCAATGGAGTAGCCTGCTGCGTGTCTTCCTCATCGCTCCATATCTCTCTCTTATGCCTCTCTCCATCTCCATACATAGCTATCGCTGTATCTGTATCTGTCGTCTCTCTCTCTCTCTCAGCTGCAGCCACAACGGAACGAAGCAGCGCCCCATTGGAGGTGGGGCCATTGGGGGCCATTACCCAAAAAAAAAAGCTAATAGCCAGGTGTCGGCTCTAGCCTCGTCCTTTGACGTTAGCTGACTAGTTTTTTGTGGGCGTTTGTTCCAAACAATTGGCGATGCGCTTTTGACCCCAGCTCCACACCGACACTTCTGCGACTCCTGCCACTCCTGCGACTCCTGCCACTCACTCACTTATTCATTTCCATTCACCAGCCCGAGTCATTGGTTCCCGGTTCCCGTACCGCTTGGACACGCTTGGGCTCATTTCCATGCCCATGCCTTTGCCCATGTCCTTGCCCCTGCCGATTCCTGCATTGTCGTTTGTCGGTTGATTCCTGTTGCTAATTTCTGTTGTCCATTGGATCTGCTGCTGCACGTGGAGGAAGGGTGCTGTGCTGTAGGACCTTTCACAAAGATCATCGTATCGAGCAGGTTGGCAGCATGGGTGGGGGGACGTGTACTGGCACTGGCAAAGGTGTTGGGCTATCCTTTTGCCCCTGTGCTTTTGTGTGCGGACGGGGACAAAAGAAAGCCACAGGCAGCAGCCAGCACCATCCAGCATCCAGCACACAGCATGAAGCATGAAACATCGGCCAGTACGTATCCAGTGCCATTATGAACGGATGCTTCCTGGCTGGTCCCAACAGTCCCGTCCTGTCCTGTCCTTGACTGGACTGCCTGCCGCCTTCGGAGTTCGGCCTGATTCTCCTGTTGCCAACGCACCGCTCCGCACCGATTGCAATTAATTCTGTGTATTCGCATCACGTTCCGGATCCCATCACCAAACAATTTCATACGTATTAAATGCAATGTCGAAAGTGAAAACACAATCTCCGTTCCGTTCCGTTTCGTTTCGTTCCGCACCGCTCCGTACCGCACTGCTTCCCAGTGGGTGGCAGATTCAGCCGATTCGATTCAGACCTTCTTTCGGCAGCAACACGATTACCAGTTGGGGTCGAATGCTGAGTGCCCTAACCGTTAAGAAAAGATTGGGTTAAGTGGGGTTTGCCTCTGTTCTTGCCACTGCATTCCCTCCATTTTACTTACGCCTTGATTGGCATCCACAGTTGTAACATAAATAGGTACATATATACATATATCCATGTTCATCTGTATTTTTGTTCACAAGCTAATCACGCAGTTGCGAAGATGGCTGAAACTCTTCACCAAATCGGATCACAATTAATAATAATTGCTGGGGAAAAGATAATCTAAACATATGTAATATCTAAATATGTAAATTAATTGTCTTTTCATATTTCAGATAAATGTAGGAATGATGGATCAGCAGGAATATCGGGATATACCCTTGCTATTAGTCAAGGCCTTCTGGATGTTTTTCAGAGTAGATAACAAAACTCAAATGAATTTTGGCTTTTACTAAGCAAAAAATTAAATCGATTCGTGATATCTAATCGTTCAAGCGAGAGAGCGAGCAGTAGAGTCGCGGCCCTTGCCGCGGCTCACAACGTCCTTGCGTTCCTTTCCGCGCTGTAAGTCTTTGTTTTATTTTATTTGCGTTCTTGGTTGAATTCGTGAGAATCTGTACACATATTCGTTGAACATATTCCGTCATTGCCAACTTTTGCCAATGACCAAGGTACGAAACCTTGTCTTTCCTTTAATCATTTTCCTTTAATTCGATTTCAATTTGAGATAGCTTTAAGGCAACTTTCTCCACCTTTCTTCCTGCTCTGTTCTGTCACACTTTCTCCCAACTTCTTTCCCCCCATTCAGAAACTTACAAGGGGACATTTTGCTGTGCTGTCAGAGTGAGACCTGCAGGGAGTGTGCCATTGAGTGAACCTCTCTGCCCTGCTCGGAAAACCATCAAATGAAGACGATTTAATTTCATTAATTTGCTCACGCCTCTCACCTACAGGGGGCTAGCTGGGTGGGTGGGAGCTGGGTGCCAGCCATGTCCCCGCCCGGCCAAGTTCCTGGGGCCACTTTTGTCCCCTGCCCTTCGCTCTCTCATGCATTTCATCCACAAAAATGGTCTCTTAATTTTTGTAATTTGTTGTCTTGCTTGGAATAGCAGGGGGTGGTGAGGGGTCGTTGGATCAGCAGGGGGGGGGGTGGTCAGCGGTGGGGCGAGGGCAAAGGTACCAGAGTAATGGTTTTAATGGCCATCTGGATATCAGCCGCAGTTTGTGGTCTCTTCAATGCGTTTGAGGGAAATGAGATTTGCATATTGTCCAAATGATGCCATCAAATGGTGAATGGGGAGTGGGGGTGCAAATGGAAATGGAATTTTTGGAGCAAAGGCAGGAGGTGGAGCTGGTGTATGGCAGTGGTGTATCTCCCCCCCCCCCTATCCGTTCCCTGTCGCCATGATGATGTGCAAGAAATCTATCCTGTCCAAATTCCAAATTCCAGCGATGACTGACCAAAAAAACCAACACACAAAAAACACTCGAAACGAAACGAAACCAAAACAAAATCAAATCTAAGGGCAAAGTTACCTTTACCTTTGCTGAACCCGAACCCGAACCCCAAACCCGCACTCCAACCCCCAACCCCATTGAAACCCAAACCCACTCTGTTGGCTGGATATCGAGCTTGGAACTGGGAGGGTTGGCTGGTAGTCTCAGCTTAGCATGAAAGCCTGTCAAAATAATACCAACGAAATTAATTTTGACATATGCCACAGTGAGTGAAGTGAAGGCTTCTTTCTGCCCACACATCAGATGCGAGGCCAGGTGGCAGGAAGCTTATTTATATATTTTTGCAGTAAACCATTGACTAAGTCCACATTAGATAACATCAGTCGGATAGCATTACCTTATAGCATTATATAACAATTGTGCACAAATATGCAAGCATACATACATACATATGTATGTGCGAACTGATGCAGATTTAATTTAAATAATTGAAAAGAATCAAGAACTAAAATAGTTTCCAATTACAAATTCCAATTACGAATTACATTGCGCACATTGCTAAGCATAAATGTGAGTGTTTAGCTTACTATTATATAAGTTAAGCAGTTAAAACGTACAAGAAATATAATTTCCATGTCATTCGTCGTCTGGTTTTTATGCACAAGCTTTTACGTCGTGGGCGCTTTCTTGAAACTCTCTCTGGGTGTCTCTCTCGACGATCGAATTCGCCAGCGCTTGGGTATTCGCCTGAGAGCGAATTTGCGCACGCTCTTGCGCTCGCGCTCGCTCATGTTGAGTCACTCATCAGAACAGAGTACAGTAAAGAGTACAACAGTTCTATTTCTTCCTACGGCTTCTCTTGATGTGAGGCTTCTACAATATTTAGCTGGTGGCTTTTATCCTTTACCCAAAGAGGAAACCTTTGGGAACCACAGCTGATAAGCCACTTTGAGCGTTTGCGTGTTGCTGGGGACTATACACAAACACCTGACCCTGGTGCGAGTACGATTGTGAGTCAGAGTGCGAGTAATTGTAGCAGGCATTGCCTGTCAGAGCACACAGATACACAAAACGCTTGATTTAAATATATACAGAGCACTATAGGTGTTTTTCCTAAATTGGTAATTGGTAATTGGTTATCTTGTTGTTGTTTGTTTCGGTCGTGAAACAAATGAAATTCCCTTTTGCGCTTCAAATATTGCGCAGGCAAAGAAGGGATCACAAAGCGATCCGCAATGTCTTACGTTCGACGTGAGTTATCTCTGTGCCGTGGCACTTGTGGGCCCAACTAATTGACATCCTGCCCGATCTTCAACAGCAACTAAGGCCAGTAATTTGCGGGCATTGGCCAACAACTTGAGGGTGAGTTCATTTCGCGGTAAGGGGAATACATATGGAATATATAGTATATGATATACAGGCTTCGAATGAAATTGCTCCCTCTGTGGTTGGGGCACGCTCACAGTCGCAGTCACCCAGCAGCCGATTCGGTGTGTCGCCCAGCATCTACACGGTCCGTAACTCTCACAGTCGCAGCAGGAGCGTTTTCTCAATGCCAAATCAAGGAAAGTTCTCGGAGTATTCGTATTCGGGTTCCTTTAACGACCACGCGACAGAGCCAGAGAAGTCCAGAGAATGCAGGAGGAGCTCCCTAGCCAGATCCCGCCTGAACACCCTAGCCGAGTCGTGTGCCCTGAGTCGTGCAACGAGCCTGGCAACGAGTCTGGCCATCGAAGGTGGTGGCAAATCCCAGCTGCGTACCGTCCAGACGCAGTACCAGAAGCTGCAGACTCTTCAATCGGAATTTGTGGAATCGTTGAAGTCATTGGATCCGGAGGACTCCAAGCTGATTGGAACGTACAGCTTTGTGGTTCTCGGCAAGGATGAATCGAACCGTTTGGCCCAAAGTTTGCGTGAGTTTTTCATGGCCTACACAACAGAACTTTGTTTGAATTTGTGCCTGCAGCGGCGGAAAGTGTGCAGGATATGAAGGATCGTTGTCAGGCGGCCGTCGATTCGGGATTCATGCTGCTCTACGATCACCTGGAGCCCATCCAGATGGCCAGGGACGAGTTCGAGGCGTGCCATCGCAAAGAGCAGCTGAAAGTTAAGCTGAAGGATCTTCTGGTAGGACTGCGCCCCTCTGCTCTAGACACCACCTCTCCCATCTCTCTTCCGTCTCTCCCATAGAGCCTAAAGATGGAGAACATTGTCGAGAGCATTGATCAGCTGTGTGTGACACCTGTCGGCCCACAGGCATCGCTCAACAGCCATTTATACCGCGACATTGGCTGGCTGCGGCGGCAGAAGCAGCAAATGGAGTCGCGGTTCCTGCAGCTCAACAAGGATCACAGCGAGCAGCTGAACAGGCTCAAGGCGGATCTCGAGGCAAAGCTGAAGGCTAGCGAGGAGCACTGGCAGCAGACGCTGGACGAGCTGAGGGAGCGGCTGCGGCGCAGCGAGGTGCAACGAAAGGAAAACGCATGCCAGCTGGCCGTACAGAATGCTGGCATGACGGCCAAGGACAGCACCATCGCCTCGTTGCAGGCGGATATGAACAAACAAATCTCTCGGTAAGTGGAGCTGCGCAGAGCAGTCCCCCCTTCAGTTATTTATCTCTCTGTATCCTGGCACAGCAACATGGAGCTGAATCAGGTGGTGAAGGGTTCGGATGGTGCGCTGCTCTTCACACAGAAAGAGCTGGAGCAGAGCAGGAAGCATATTGCCTATCTGGAGGAGGAGCTGAATGTGGGACGTCAGCTCATAGACGAGCTACAGCTGCAGCAGCGTCCCGCTGTACAGGATATCCATCAGGACGTGGAGGAGAAGGATCGCATCATAGGTGACTTGCACCTCAAGGTGCAGAATCTGTTGCAGCTGCAGGCAGTGCACGAGGAACACGAGCCGAATACTCTGCAGCTGGACACGCAGATCAGGTGAGGCTATGGTCCAGAGTGTCGTAGACTGCTTCGAATGCATACCTCCGAATACCGCAGTGAGCTGCAGCAGAAGCTGAATAGCACCGAAATGCAGCTCGATGCCAATGACCAGAGGGAGGAGCAGCTGCACTCGGATCTGGAGATTGTGAAGAAGGAGCTGTTCCGGTCCGAGCAGCTGGTGGTCAATCTGCGGGAGCACGCGATTCGCGACCGCGAGAAAATATCCACGTGCACCCACGAAATCAACGAGCTGAAGAAGTCCATCGATCACCTGAACTTGGCATCTGCCGACAAGGACACGCAGCTAAATCAGGTACGAGCCAGCGGCCGAATACGATCCGGGCTGATGGTCTGCTCTGTTGTGTTGTGTCTCGTTGCAGGTGAGCATCGAGCTGCACGCGAAGGATGAGCACATGGGCCATCTGTATGAGAAGCTGAATCGCCAGGCGGAGAAGATCCGGTTCATGGAGGAGTATGCAAAAATTAGCTCCGACGACAATGCACGCCTTTTGCAAATTCGAAACAAGCAGGAGGAGAAAGAACATCCAACTGGACTGGGAGATCTCTCAACTAAAAAACAACGTGTAGGTATCCCCCACCCCACCACATAGGGGGAGGGGCAAAATAATTTCAAAGAAATTCCTTCTTTTGCCTTTGCAGCAAGGAACTCCACGACTACATTGTCCGCAACAGTCAGCAGGCTGCCGAAGTTCTCGGCTTTGAGGTCGGCAACTACTCCATGTGTCAGGAATATCAGAATTCGCAGCCACTGACGCAGCCGCAGGGCAACTTGGAGTCCCCCGTAGCATACCTCGAGCCACTGAATGGCCATTTTGTCCAGCAGCAGCAGCAGCACCCCAATTCGGGCAGCCATCAGCCACAGCAGCACCATCAGTAAGCAGACAGGCGACAGCCGTCCGCCGTCCGCCGTCAGCGATTCCCGTAGCGACTTCCGCCATCTCCTCATGAATGTGCCACAGACCAGACAACACGAAACCCCTTCATATTCAGCCGCTAAATTTATGGTTACCATTTTGCATGTTTTTTTTTTTAGTGAATATTTAAGAATAAATACGATTTATAATTGAGTGGATATTATTTATTTATTTTATTGGATTACACTACCTGACACGATTTTTCCTCAAGCAACAAAACCAACTTTTTCTTAAAGATTTGGGGCTTAGAAATGGTTTGAGGGTATTTTTTGTTCTATTTTTCTATGGTAGAAATTTTGTTTAAAGCATTTTTGAAAACTGGTAATTTTTTTTAGATTTTTCAGAGGTAGCGCTTCTGTTTTTCACATAACTCTAAATAATTATAAATAAATAATTATGATAAATATCAGCTGCGCTGCCAAAGTTTTGCTCTGTGAGTAAAGGTCTATATATGGGTATATCCAGTGCGACGGACTGAACACACACACAAAATAAAATGTATTCCGACCAAACGGACTTAATTGGCTTTTTTGGCAGGGAAAGGAACCGAGTTTAGTAGCTGATATTCGAATAAATCTTCTTCGTAAATGTGCAGAGCAGAGAGACAGCAACTACGCAGCAGTTTGGTATTCCTTATGGTTCAGTATTTGCTGAGATTGAGGCCTGGGACATTGAAGAAATTTGCCCCAAGCCTTAGCTTGCAGTTATAAATGTGTGTGAGGATTCAAATTAAAAGTATAAGAAATTAAATGAATTGTATGAGAAAGGTTATGTTTAACCTAGATATAGTAAGGGAGAGGGCCCGGTTGTGGACATAGTTGTGTTTTTGCCTCATAACTTTTGACCAATTGCATATTATAAAAACATATGTGTACCAATTTAAAATTAGAGGCATTAGCAAACTATCAGTGAAGAACTATATTGATTCCTTCATGCAGAAAAATTTTATCAAACATTTAGTGAAGTAACCTTTTTTCGAGAAAAAAAATATAGGCCTAGTTGTGGACAACCCTGAAAAATCCGCTTAAATTAAAAAATATGAAAGCAAACCACCACAAATAACGATAAATTGGAAGTTTATTTATTTTAAGAGCCTACTGGCTTAAAGAGAAATAAGGATGACGCTTTTTAACATGAATCATCGTAATCAGAGTTGCAGTGCTTGCATGTGAAGTAGCTGGCACGCATATTAGCGCACTTTAAATGCACCAGACGACTACATTCATTGCATTTGATGGAGTTTGCGGCGGTCAACTTCTTTGGCAGGAGGTGCAGACAGATGATGCAGAAATCCTCATCATCTTCCGAAAGAGCCTTGCTTCGCTTATCTGCTGGTTTGTCTAATGATGCCTTCCGTCCACGCTTTTTCTGGGCAGAAACAGATGCCTGCTTCCTCAAGGAAGCAATACAGTGCGGTGAGGTAATCACGGAAATAGCGATTCAGGGTGCTGCGAGAAATGCATTATTCTTTAGCAGTAGCTCTCACAAATTGCTTGTCCGACAAGCAACACTTAATGTCTTTCAACAGTGCAGTAAAATCCATTTCTTTTTTATATGTGTCACATTCGAGAGGTTGCTCTGAAGTGATCTAGATTTAACCACTAGACCGATTTTGTTTACATTTTTGTTTAAGCTTTACATGAGAGAGAAGAGAATGCAATCTTATTCTAACGGTTAATGAGAATAGACCTATCCCACTCTTATACATAGGACGGGGTGCTAGATAATTATGATCTGTGCTTAAAAGCTTTGGCAGCTTCATAAGGTGCTTCTAGACGATGCAGCGGCTGCATGAGAAGCTTTTATGTCTGTGAGGCTGCACGCTTTGTTCACACGCTGCAGCATTTCGCATGCAGTTTTTCTCACACGAGAGTGGGCAGAGTGAGAAAGAAAAAGCTAAAAGCTCATGACCCAGCGCAAATATCTAAATCAGTTTGATATCACTGGTCAACACGATTTTTCCTCAAGGAACAAAACCAACTTTTTTTTAAAGATTGGGGCTTAGAAAAGGTTTGGTGATATATTTTTTTTTTTATGGCAGAAATTTTTTTTGAAAAATTTATGAAAACTGGTATTTTTTTTAAAGCTTTTTTCAGAGGTAGCGATAGTTTTTTTCACATAACTTTAGTATCTTACGTCCCAATTGGCAGTTGGGCCCGAAACCTTCAAAAAGGTATTTTTTGTTCATTTTTTCCATTTTTTAGGTTTGGTTAACGAATTTTAGCTCCAAAGTCTCTCATAGATTTTAATAAGCGATACCTTAAACGACGCCAAATTAATGCACCTCTACCACAAAAAAAAAAACACAGGATATAATTTTTTCGACTTTTCCTGAGTTTTTAACGTCAAAATTTCGTAAAAAATACCGCACAAAAATCATCATTTTTGCATTTCAATGCTTTATATTTCCCAGACGGTAAGCTGAAATCACAAAGTATTTGGGCTTAACTTCTAGCTGTTTTAATTACCTTTTCAAAATAGCAAAGTTCTTAACAACCAGATGAAAGATACTAGAGTTATGTGAAAAAAACAAGCGCTACCTCTGAAAAAAGCTTAAAAACAAAATACCAGACTTCAAAAATTCTTCAAAAAAATGTTCTGCCATAGAAAAAAAAAATAATTCTTTAAACAATTTTAAAGCCCCATATCTATCAGAAAAAGTTGGTTTGGATCCTTGAGGAAAAAAAAGTTCGGTTTTGTCGAGTAGTGTATTCTGTGCAGCATTGTATGCGTGAAATGAGATCGTATACGTCACACGTACACATGCTGTCATGCAGCCGCTGCATCGTCTAAATTCGATATCAAGCTCAAAGCTCAAACTAATGTACAGTGGTTTAAATGTTATTTATTTGTACTACATTGCCTTAAACAACAATATTATGCAGCTTCGTAACCAAATACACGCATTAAATACAAAAAACAGGATGTCTACAACAGGTATCATGGCGTGTGTCATAACCGGGCAAAACAGACAATTTTTCCAAAAAACCAAAAAAAATATGTTGTGCATACATATATGTATGTATGTATTTTGGTTAAAAACGAAAACAATTCACAAACTACAATGACCACACTACAAGGAAAACGAAATACTACAATTTTTGGACAAAATGTACATCCATTTTTTCGCACTTGAAAAATAATAAAATTTACTTTGAGTTTTTTTTTCCCCCATTTTATTTTTATTATGCTCACAGCACCTAGACCAAAGCAGCTATTTGTTTCGGTATTAGCAGAAAAACTGCGTATTGTTACCAAAAATGACTTCCAATACTCAGACCAGTAGCATCTGCTTGCTGTCCAAGTTTTTGGGGGTGGGTCACAACTAGTACCTGGTCCACAACAGGGCCCTCTACTTAGTAATTGATACAGCTTCGGTGGATATGTTTTTTTAGATCTGTTTCAAAGCGACAGACGACTGATAAAATACGATTGATACCAACTGCGGCTGACGAAAGCGACGACTGACAATGGGAATGGCGAAAGGCCTCTGAGCGGCGTCGGCTGACGCTTCTTGACTGTCGTTCTCGCGATCTCCTCTTTGCTCTCTCTCTGCTCTCAGCTCACTCGGGCAGGTCTACGCTTGTGTGCTTGACCCAGCCTTCTTACATTGTATATGCTAGTGGAGAAATCAAATTGTGTTTGGACCATAGCTTTATCTTTCAAAATCTTTGACAATCCCTTACACGAGCTGTCAGCTAAATCTCACAGCAGACCGAACTCGCCTCAGCGTCTGTCTGCAGGCAGCAGAAATATTCAGAATATAACATACATGCATATGTATGTGCATTAATATATGTACGTACATTGCACATAGCAAAGTCGTAGGAGAGGAGGCAAGCAAGTAATAATGGGTGCGGCTGTGTCGCGGCGACTGTCGAGCGACGAGAAAGCCGAGATCCAGGCGGGATCGGGTTTCTCGATATGCCGCATCGGCTATCTGTTCGACATGTACGAGTCGCTGCGCAAGCAACACGGAGTGGTGCAGAACAGGGATCTGGTGCACTGGCCCCCGCTGGCCGGCCATCCGCTGTCCAATGTGATCCTGGAGCGCAGGCTGAATCCGTCGAAGGGCTTCCGGCACTTCATCAACATACTGGAGCCCTTTCAGCGGAAGACATCGGTGGAGCGGAAGCTGTGGGCCGTGCTCCGCCTGTTCGATAATAATGCGGACGACCTGCTCACATCGGACGAGTGCTTCGAGCTGCTGCTGCGATTGCCGTGCACGCGGCGCCAGTTTCGGGAGATGCGGCGCAAGTTCAATCAGCTGCTGGTGGAGAAGGCCAAGGAGTGCGCCCGGCAGATGGTTCGTCAGCACGCTGAGCAAGAGGACGCGGAAGAGGGAGAGGGCGAGGGTGAGGAGTGGTTTAAGGAGGAGGCCTTCAAGCTGTGTCCGGAGCGGGATCAGAAGGTAGGTGAGAAGTTGTCGCTGAGTTCTTGAAATAAAAATATTAAAAAATAAAAATATTAAAAAAAGAAACAGAATAAGAATAAAAAGAAGGCGCAGAAGAAGGCTCAGAAGAAGGCACAGAAAAACTCAAAGAAGAAGAAGAAGTTTGAGCAGGAGCAGGATCTGATATCTACTTGGGATCAAATCCACTTCGAGGACCTGCTCTACATCACTGGGGGCATGGACCTGCAGGACTCTCTCTCGCTGCGCTTCCCCCAAGCCATCGACCAGCCAACATGCCCACACGCCCTCGCCCACGCCAACGCCCACGCCCACTGCCGATGGGCGTGGCAGTGAATTGCATATCCTTTCGCCGCTCTCATAACATCACGTTGCAAAAGTTTTCACATAAACGCAAAAGTTAAGTCATTCCTGAAAATTGTTTCTTGAATTTACTCGCGCCTTGAGCAGGAGGGAGGGGCAGGGGGGCAGGGCAGAGGGACATAGCGGGTTACAAGTACGCCAAAGTGCGGGGAAAGGAATAACATGAGCACTTTTCTTCAATGGCACTTGAGTACTCGTCCTCGTACTTGTACTCCTCTTCCCATGCCAGTCCCCTCCCCGTAGCCGTAGCCGTACCCGTACCCAACTTGTTTGTGTGTGTGTGTCCTTCAGCTGCCTTCAGCTCCTGCTCCCTCACTACGACCTGCTTCTGCCCTGCGAGTATTTACTTACTTTTCCACCACCAAGTTCTGGTTTTCCGGTCTCGTATCCGACAGATTGCTCATTTGCTTCACTTGAGGGTCACCTGTTACGGGCACGTCTCCGATTCCGACTCCGCCTCCGTCTCCGTCTCGCCCTTCTACTCACCCAGGGGTCGGCAGCTCAATTAACCATTCACAGTGTCATTCGTCATAAATATTGAGTAATTGAGCAAGCACTTCCTAGGGGACTCTCATCTGTGAGAGTTGTCTTATTAACCAGAGATAGTCCACCAAAGTAGATTGAACCTGAACCAAAAATATATCTGCTTGATTTTATTTGTATACATTTGTATGCTTTTTTTAAGCTATTTCTATTTAAATTTTGGGCCTGACTTTAGGACTGACTCTTTCCATTTGAATCACATTTTTATCTCTGTTCCGGTAGAAGCGCTAACAGGACAGCAGCGTTAACAGGGTAGCAGTGCTAACAGGGCATCAGTGCTACCACGGCAGCAGCGCTAACGGGGTAGCAGTGCTGTTAACTTGAGCGTAACAGCCTGTGTCTACAGCGCTCTCCGACAACGCTCTCACGATACACACGGCTCTCGATCGGCCTTTGCTTGTGAGCAAGCTTCAACACCCGCTCCGAGGGAATTAGTTACGTTTTGTTATGTTTTGTTTTGTTTTGTTATCTTTGCAGTCTTTAGGCGAAGCAGCCACCCTAAAAACAGTTAAGACAGTTCTCGATCCACTAGCTTAAGTGACGCTGGCACACCCGCTCCGGAGTGGAACTTTTAGTCCCGTTCTACCCACATACATAGATACATATATAAAATGACACCCCGTGAATTCTTCCACCTTTCTTTTGGCGGTGCTCAGCCTGAGAGATCCACACTACCACAATCATTTATAGAGATAATCTTAAGCGGAATCACACTTAGATAATCCATGGATAACCATTACCATAATAAGCCTGGCTCAAATTATCTTCTCCCTTTGATTGGCCTCTGCAAATGCAATTTAAAGGGGGGAATTTGTGGAGATTTTGCGTTGAATATGCGGCTGTCAGATAGTTTTTCGACTCGTGCAGTCCAGACTACCAGCAAGCAGCAACCAGCTGTATTGCCAGCTCTACGGCTCTCTGTCCGTTTCACTTTGCTGGTTTTTGCGACTGATTGCATTTTTATCCCTTTTATACACAAAAGCCATGAAATATGCACACTAACTCATGCGTATTTTATAATAATAAAAGCGCACAGCACAGTACTCGTAAAGTGCCAAGAGATAGTTGGGCAAAATCCGAACTGACTGCCACACACACCCACACCCGCACCCACACACCCACACACCCAATCTCGTTCCATCGCAAAACGAACCCAAAGCCCGAAATGCAAAGACAAAAGATGCAACACAGTCGAGCTGAGTGGGGCGGACGGACAGCAGAGGACAGACAGCCAGACAGCCAGACAGACGGACGGATGGAACAGACACTGGGAACCCTGACAGTTGGCACTCCGCCCCAGTCCCACCCCAGCCCCCATACCACCCCATACCACCAAGTAAATCTCTTCACACGTGCCCAGGTGGGCAACTTGTTAATGCTGCAGAGGTTTCACCTTCAGCCGGCAGTCTCCGGCTTCTGCTTCATCCACCTGACATATGGCAAATCGGATATGCCACCATCAGCGGCATCCGTGGCGGATGTGGCGTGTGTAACAAGGTTAGCTTAGCGGCTTACTCGGTCAAGACATCGACTCGATGTTGGGTGGGCTCCTCCACGCCTCTACGCCTCCCTCTCTACTCCTGCATTGGTAAATATTTAAGGGCACTATCTTCGCATACCAACAGCTCCAGCTGCAGCTGCAGCCATCTGGTGGCTTAAAGTGCAGCCTAAGTCGTCAAGTGAGAGGATCAATTTGTTAGTTGGATGCACTGCCAGTCAGAGTTGGAGGCTGTGGCAGCTGCAAGCTACATCAAAACAGGTGTAACAAAATTCGACTGCCTATTCAACGCTTATAAATAGCCTTTAAAATGGGAAATATTTGCATTGTCTGCTCCCCAGAAATTCGCAGCATTTATTCGCATTTATTTTGGGACTTAGCTGATTCAGTGCAAAATCTACGGAACTTGGAGCTCCCTTTGCTTCCCTATCTACGCCACGGCTCTTTGTACTTGGGGGAAATTTACATGCCAAGCAGCTGCCGCAGGCGTGGAAGCTTGTCGGAGAGGCGTTGATTGCCTCGCCTGATCAATTGAGGCATCGCCAATCAACCCTTAGATTCCTTTCTGGTTGGGCCAACTGGGCCGATAGGCGTAATTCAATCGAATCTTGTCCCTGTCCCTGTGCCCGCTCCTCTTCGTTCCGTTCCATAACTTCCCTTACAATTTGCCATATTTTGTGTCACGCTTTGTCTTCGTTGCAGTTTTTATGCCACGCGGATGGCATTGCTGCTGCTGGGGGGGGGGGGAGGTTAAGGTTTAGCCATCAGCCAAACGGGGCAATGGTGTTGCATGTGCAAGCTTCTGTGCTTGGCCTCACCCCGCCCGTATTCTTTTTTTTTTATGCTCCTTCAGCTGCTTAAACGTGTTTCAAATACGCGATTTTGCACCCACCCAAAAAGGCGACGAATTTGCATCGCACCGGAGACGGGGCGCGGCAGTAGGGGCAGCGGCGAAGTGCAGCCAAGAGGAATGCAAGGGAGTGGCGGCAACCCATCTGCAGCTGCTTGGAATACGAATGTGAAAATTGTCGCGCTTCATTTTATTAGACATCATATAAACATGTTATACTCATGCCACTATCGGGGCTAGTCAGGTTCCATTCCCATGTCCCCTTTACGCCCCTTTATCCATCCCCTACTTGTGGCACCATTCCCTTCCTTTTCCACAGATCGGACAGCCTAGTGGAGTGAGAGCAAGAGCAGGAGCATTTTCATTTGGCTCATCCTTATGCCTTGTGCCTTGTGCCTCAAGCATATTTATTATCATGTCGAAGTGTTATCCTCGAACAGGCCAGAGCCAAGAGCAGGAGCAGGACCCAGACCTGTACCCAGACCTGTACCCAGACCTGGACCTGTGGATGGGGTTGCTGCAACTGTTGTTACTCTTCATGTTAACATGTGTTCGAATCGTTAAGGCGAGAACTTTGTGCAAAATTATTTGCTACAAAACACTCGACTCGTGTTTGCGCCTGGGCTGACTGGGGCTGACTGTGCCATCCCACCTACATATACATATGTCTACATATATATGTATTTATGTATATATATATTGCTGGGTTGCGTTCTGTGGCGCTTTGTGTTACTGTGCTAGTGTGTGGCAGAGCCTGGAACTGGGCGCCAAACAACACAAACAACAGCTCATTGAGTTTTAGAAAAGTTGTTAACATGAACATTTGATGTCACAACATTGCCTCCTCTGACTCTGCAGCCTCTCCCTCGACACACTACTACGTTCTCAAGTGTGTTTGTGTGTGTGTGTGCGTATGGGCAACATCCTTGAAAAGTCGTACTACTCGTACTGCAGTGGATCCTGGATCCAGCAAGTGGCAGCCACACACTCAGAGAGATGGCGAGAAGCGGACAGAGCCGGTCCAAGCGTATCCATTATTGCGTCCAAAAGCACCAAAAATTCACTAAAAACCCGTTACCAAAGTTGGGACTACCATACCCCTCCCCTGACCCACTGTGGGGGGTAAAGTGGAGAGCCCTCTGCTTGCTTGTTTGCAGACAGCAAAAAAAAAAAAAAAAAAAAAAACACACAGAAAGAAAAACAAAGAGTGGACACAGAAAAATGACAACGACAACGAAAGCAAAAAACTTTTACACTTAACAGACAAAATTGTCTACAAATTTAGTTAATTTATGTTATTTATTTAGTTAGTTATAGCTTTGGGTTTGCTGCTGCTGGAAGGTTAGGGGAGGGGGTGGGTTCGTCCTGTGTGTCTGTTTGCATTGATTGGCGAGGTGGCTTGATGGCTTGATGGGATTGAACTTGGAATTCTCATGATCCTCAAAGCACAAAGCCTAAGCATTGAGCTTCATTTTAAGCAATAAATTGTATTTAAGTATGTTGAATACAATCAATAAAAGCCATTTTATTACTTATTACTAAAATAATTTATAAATTAATTATAAAATATACAATTACTTATACGTACAAGTCGGATTTAATACGGGTATTCTCTCACATAGTTCTGCTACATCGATACGAGTATCCTGCTGCTACATCTGCTCCAATAACATAATGCTTGTTCAGTCGCATATTTATGCATTAATTAATATAACATAATATACACTTATCGAATAAGTCAGGTCGACCCATGTAACGGGAGACAAGACAATGCAAAGCATTGTAGCTGAGTCAACAACAACCGCTTCTGCAGCAATTTCTTCCAACGATGCGATCGCTCTTCAGAGGGCAATAACACTGGTGCAATAGCTGACTATCACAATTGCCCAATAACACAATATCATATTAAATCCAAATTAATTCAATATTAATTCCAATTCCCTTTTACCATATTCTTACTAGACTCAGCACTTTCTATACCTTTTGTTACCTATAAATAGAATTTAAGTTTGTTCAATAAAATCAGTATCAGAAACAGTACCATCACTGCCTGTTCACTCATTCTCTACAACTGCAATCAACAGAGGCTGTCGCCGTGTCTTCAGACCCTCATTTGCTCGACGTAGGAATTTCCTAGAGGTGGGCATGGACCGTGTTTTCTTCGTGTCACGTCGTGACACGATGGGCGCCCGCGTGTGCGTGTTAAAAAATTAAATTTTGTCCATGGGCGTGCGTTTTCGTGCAGAGCAAAATCGGCACGAAAAAACACAACGAACAAAAAAAAACTAAAGTTTCATTGCAGGATAGAAATGCACTAAAATTTTGGAAGAATGCTAATAACATTACAGCTTTTAGCTAGAAAAATATTAAATATTCCGGCCAGCTCGGTTACAAGTGGGAGGGTTTTTCTTTTCGGGACAAATATTAAAAGAACGCCGTACACGCTTATTAAGCTCTAACCTTGATAAATTGTTATTTTTATACAAAAATATGTTCATAAAAACGTATATGTAATTAAAATCGATGTTAATAAAGGTATGGAGAAAAAGTATAATAATTCGTGTTGGACAGTGTTGGACCGTGTTCGGAAATTTTTTAGCCGTGCGTGCTAGTGCGTGTTGAAAATTTTCATTTTCGTGTCGTATTGGGTCGTGTCGCAAAATTGCAGTCCATGCCCATCTCTTACCAGGAAACCCTCTCCGCAGTCCATCTGGTTCAAGTTCTACTTTCGAAGACAAATTTGTAAACGGTTTATGAACCTTATGCATACCAAATCACACACACATACAAACACACATTAACAATGCTTCATGTACTATAACTATTCCATTGCTCCAATATTCCGAGTATATTTATTTAAATATTATTATTAAAGGAGGAAAGTGATATGCAGCTTACAGAATGGTTAGCTACAAAATGAACGCTTAATATAAAGACACGGTTAGCATCATCGCATCATTATTGGTACTTATAACTGACAGATATAGAGATAGGTACCATGAGCTCCTATCAGGTAATATTCGTACCAAATTGCTTTAAAATTCAGGTAATAATTCTAGGGTCAAATATTACAGAAATTCTGTTGTTTTTTTATACCCGTACTCAAAAAAGAGTTAAGGGGTATATTAGATTTGTGGTAAAAGTGGATGTGTGTAACGCAGAGAAGGAAAATTTTCCGACCCCATAAAGTATATATATTCTTGATCAGCATCAATAGCCGAGTCGATATAGCCATGTCTGTCTGTCCGTCCGTCCGTCCGTCTGTCCGTCTGTCCGTCTCGATGAGCGCCTGGATCTCAGAGACTATAAGAGATAGCGAAACCAAATTTGGTTTCCAGACTTATGTGATATCACACTGCTACAAGTGTATTTCAGAATTTCGCCCCGCCCCCTTTCGCCCCCACAAAGGACGAAAATCTGTGGCAGGCACAATTTTAAAGATACGATAAAATTAAAAACGCAGTATCGTAGAGAATGCCCATATCTACCAGATTGCCAAATCTGAACTAGATCGGATCATAATTATAGCCAGAATGAAATTAATTTTCTGTTGCTTCCCCTGCCCCCTCCTGCCCACAACAACGCAACTCATTTTCCTTCTCGCTCGCACACTCTGCCGCGTTCAGTGCGCGAGCAACCCCTAGCGGGGGAGATGTAGAATATACATAGTATATGTAGATGTAGATAACAGATGTAGCAAAAATATGTAAAATGTAAAATTTTTTTTTTTTTTTTAATTCAAAATAATTATGTATATGCTCAAAAATGTATATGCTGACTGAGTACGGGTCTAAGTAGAGTCGCGTCCCCAGAAGCGACTCACAAGTTCCTTCTCGTTTTTATACCCGTACTCAAAAAAGAGTTAAGGGGTATATTAGATTTGTGGTAAAAGTGGATGTGTGTAACGCAGAGAAGGAAACGTTTCCGACCCCATAAAGTATATATATTCTTGATCAGCATCAATAGCCGAGTCGATAGAGCCATGTCTGTCTGTCCGTCTGTCTGTCTGTCCGTCTTGTTGAGCGCCTAGATCTCAGAGACTATAAGAGCTAGGGCAACCAAATTTGGTTTCCAGACTCATGTGATATCACACTGCTACAAGTGTATTTCAAAATTTCGCCCCGCCTCCTTCCGCCCCCACAAAGGACGAAAATCTGTGGCAGGCACAGTTTTAAAGATACGATAAAACTAAAAACGCAGTATCGTAGAGAATGCCCATATCTACCAGATTGCCGAATCTGAATTAGATCGGATCATAATTATAGCCAGAATGAAGAAATTCATTTTCAGTTGCTTCCCCTCCCCCTCCCGATCCAAACAACGCAACTCATTTTCCTTCTCGCTCGCACACTCTGCCGCGTTCAGTGCGCGAGCAACCCCTAGCGGAGGAGATGTAGAATCTAAATGGTACATGTACAATCTACATGTTAGATGTAGAATAGACATTGTAGATGAGATGTAGATAACAGATGTAGCAAAAAAAATGTAAAATGTAAAATTTTTTTTTTAATTCTAAAATTCTAAAAAATCATGCTCAAAAATGTATATACTGACTGAGTACGGGTATAAGTAGAGTCGTGTCCCCAGAAACGACTCACACGTTCCTTCTCGTTTTTTTTTTAATTTCAGTTAAAATTTTTACGTTTTTAAACAAGTCTGCCAATCTTTTAAGTACTCAAGAAAAAAATTTAAAAATGCTTTATGTAAATGGCTTGCATTCTAAAGAAGCATATTCGTCTTTCTGTTGTTTTGTGCTATCCTGGCCGTTATTGGGTGTTGAATTGGGGGTTTCTCAACCAAATCCTCAATATATTTTCTCAATAAATGACATGGTTGCAAAACTAAAGACAAGAATAATAGTAAATCAATAAAGATGGATATGTATGTAGGTTAAACGTTAATATATGGATAAAGAAAATATAGAACAAAGCATTAATATGGTGGCTTACATATTTCACTCCATCGCTGCAACAGGCCTGCATGCATTGATGTTCCACCTAGCTAAGAACATTAACAGTATGTACAATGTGTATAAAGTTAAAGAAAAGTGAAAGAAATCATAAAAAAGAATTATGTATAAATATATGTATGTATGTATTCGTATCACTAAGTAAATCCGTTTCATTCATCCATCCTTATTGTGTTGACTGTCTGTTGGTATGCACACTTGCGCTCGTCCAAGGTCAAAAAAAGGTCCATGGAAAACACCTCTAGAAAACTTCTCTGGAGCTAGATCTCCAATCAATGATGTATGTATATGGGCGCAAACCGAAGCAAACTTAGCCTTTAATTGGCATATAACAAAGACCCTTTCAGAAAACACAAAATTTTATTAGTCCACATGTCATGTGTGTTACATAATAGGAAAAATTACCTTTCGGTCGTGCAACTGGGTTTAATTCCGAAGAAAGATTTATATAAACCAGAACACAAATCGGCCAAGACTGCCTTAGCATGTGCACCATGCCCCTAGGAAAATCACTACGTTAGACACCTTTAAAACTTTCACCTACTCAAGGTAATTAACCTCATGGGAGTAGGGATCACTTTTGGATCAATATTTCCGATAAGCACGTATTATTGCACTCAGATTATATCTTCTGCTTTAGTGCGGCTAGCAACGATGCACTGCTGTTTTATAATGTTTTTCTCCTTGCAGAATTTAACCAACAAAAAATAGGCACGTGTTCTTCAAAATTGGTATGCACTTGTTGTCTCGCAGCTAACTGACCTTTCCCAATTCATTGGCCTAAGCTTCGGTTTTTTCCTTTACTTTTCCCACCCACGCTTCTAAAGCACAAGGTCTGGATCATATACGATCTAATCTAAAGCACATACAGCTGTAGCTACAGTGCTGTGCACCTAAATAGGTCGAAATATAAAGCACGAAAATATGAGCCGTCACAGCCCACAGCATTTGTGATATGCATGTGACCCACTGAAGTGCTTAACTTCCGTAGAGCCCTTTGGGTGCAGGAGATCAAGCGATTTAAGGCGCATTGCATTAAGGATTTTTATAATTTTAGCGATAATATCGGCAGTAAGTTATCTTGCATATCCCACATACATATGTATGTGTGTTTTATATATATATTCCTCTTATTTCTCTCATCTTAATACCGTATACCGTAGTATGGCTAATCCTGTGTGCTCTGCAATCACATTGCTGCCATAAATTGTAGCCTTTGTTTCTAAACTTGTCTCACCATTATTTAATTTTGTGTCATATTAGCCATGTTTCCTTTAAATCCTCCGCCACCAAACACAAAATGTTCGTGACCCATAAATCCAATATAAAATATCCAATATACTATATATATACAATACATATGTACAATGTAGTCCGGCAAAGTGTATAAATTCCAGATGAAAATAAAGCCTTGTCCTTGAAATTCATATCTGCAAAGCGTATCTATGGCCCCGAGAAGCGAACGGATAATTCTGCTGTTGCAACTGACGCGTTCCCACGGATAGAGTAAAGCACTCGCTCTGCTACGCTTACCACGAAGAGAAGTCCATTAAAACTGAAATGTCAATGAAAACCGAAGAACAGGTAAGGACATGCCGTACATTCGGAAAAGTTGGTTTTTAAGTTAACATTTGAGCTATAATTTCATGTTCAGTAAGTGTATAAACACCGTTGGGAACTTGCCCATTGATTGAAGCAATTAATTCACTTACTAAAAATACAAATAATACAAAAACAACGCCAATAAACAGAGAGAGAGAGAGAGAGACCCCCTACAGCCTTCGTGTGATAGTTTTTATTTTCATTTTAATTGTCTGTGAAACTGCAAAAATGAAAGAAGTGCCAACAAAAGATGAAACAAGAGTATTACTAAGAGTATCCATTTGTCGTGTAATGAAAGATTTAACATAGAAACATATTAAAGCACGAGTTTTACAGACTCTTTGGTAATGTGTAAACAATTCGCAGAAAATAAATTATTGTTCATTCCTTTCCGAACTGTATTCTTTTGACAACAAGTCTACATAGGCTTTGTATTTGTATTATTTTGTCAGTCAATCTCAACCTGTTCGAGAACAGAACGAATTTCAGATAAGCAAAATAGAAAATCGTGAGAATTGTATTCAATCTTCTGCAAAGTGCGTATTGGTTGGTTGACGTATTTCATTCTCCTATTACAGATGGAGACGATTGGTTTTAAAGTTCTCACAAGCGTCCCCGACGATCCTGACACGGGAAGGTTTGTCGGCCAGTCACGTTACTTGAAGCTGGAAATACCAGCCGTCGTGGAGGGTGTCCGTCGCTTTCTGCACGGCGTGGCCGTCAAGCAGACATTCACCGGCGACGTGGTGATGGAGGACGCTGTGGAAATGACTGCTAAAACTGTGCTCCACTACCACGGAATCGTTAAGGTGCCGCGCGCAGCCATAGTCCAGTTTATATACCCGAAACACTTATTTTTGCCAGAGTTTGAATAATTCCTAACCTACACTTACTTGCACTCACACTTACGCATGCACTGCACCTCCCCCGCCACAATGATTGTCGCAAAATTCAATAGACAAAAACAATTAAAATGAACCCTCAAAATGTAATCAAAAACAAAAAATAAAAGCCCCTCAGCAAATGCTAATCAACTGGCAACAAAAAAAAAACCATCAATGACCGAAGCTTGAGATACACTTGCAGATTAAGTGGAGCTATTGGGAAACATAAATATGTATGTATGTACGGTTGTGTATGATAAAGTGAGCTCTTCTTGAGGCTTCCTTCCTTCTAATAAAAATCAGGTTTGCTTCCCGCTCCCTTGGGCAAACATCCCATCGATTGTGCCTTAACCTTTGCAAGGGTATTGAAACTATCAGAGACAATACTCAAATGGGTATACAATATAAAACACAAAACTCGACCTTGACTTTCATACCAACAAAATAAAACAAAATCTCCAACGGCCAGATCCAAACAAATGCCAAAAGATAAACAAAAACGAGAAGGAACGTGTGAGTCGCTTCTAAAGACGCGACTCTACTTATACCCGTACTCAGTCAGTATTTACATTTTTGAGCATATGATTTTCAGAATTTAGAATTAAAAAAAAAAATTGTACATATTACATTTTTTTGCTACATCTGTTATCTACATCTACAATGTATATTTTACATCTAACATGTAGATTATAGATGTACTATTCATATTCTACATCTTTTCCGCTAGGGGTTGCTCGCGCACTGAACGCGGCAGAGTGTGCGAGCGAGAAGGAAAATGAGTGTGTTGTTTTGGTTGAGGAGGGGGCAGGGGAAGCAACTGAAAATTAATTTCGTCATTCTGGCTATAATTATGATTCAATCTAATTCAGATTCAGCAGTCTGGTAGATATGGGCATTCTCTACGATACTGCGTTTTTAGTTTTATCGTATCTTTAAAATTGTGCCTGCCACAGATTTTTGTCCTTTGTGGGGGCGGAAGGGGGCGGGGCGAAATTCTGAAATACACTTGTAGCAGTGTGATATCACATGAGTGTGGAAACCAAATTTGGTTGCCCTAGCTCTTATAGTCTCTGAGATCTAGGCGCTCAACAAGACGGACAGACAGACAGACGGACAGACAGACAGACAGACGGACAGACAGGCATGGCTATATCGACTCGGCTATTGATGCTGATCAAGAATATATATACTTTATGGGGTCGGAAACGTTTCCTTCTCTACGTTACACACATCCACTTTTACCACAAATCAAATATACCCCTTAACTCTTTTTTGAGTACGGGTATAACAAAATTCCGACCAAAATCCACACAGAAATAAGCAAATAAATAAAAATGTTAAAAAGGTTGATTTTTGGCGGATTCCGAATCGGTTTCGGATGGGTCTCTCGTTTGCTTAAGAAGGCCGATGGAAGACGGAGGGAGGGGCGGCGAGACGCCGAGACTGAAACTGAAACCAAAACCGAGACGGCGACGGCGACGCATGCGCAGCGGAGTGTAAACAATTTTGACCCAATTGCCGAGCTCCACTTGCCTCGCCGCTCCCCTCAGACCACTAAGGCTGTGGCAGATTGACGCGTTCGTGTTCGCCTTCACAGCTTATGCAGCTGCCCAAACGTGCCCCCGGCTGCCCCCAACAGCAGTCGATTTTGCAACGCAAAAAAGATGAAAGATGCAACAGGCAATTTGTGCAAATTGATAGAGCTGACATCATGAGAAGCAGCTCAAAGGGAGAGACCTGAAAGAGCGAACAAAATTCTGGGAGAACATAATTTTTAAGGCAAAGATTAACCCACATTGCAGTCTATTTCCTCCAAGTCAATTTAAGCCAATTACCAACTAATTGCTGCTAAGAAGCTCCCACATATTGTCCCCCAAAAGCTGGCCAATAATAGTTTCAATTGCTGAAGTCTCCAATTGACTGCTAATCAAAGCGCAACGAAAACCTGGCCAAAAGCAGAAAACAACAGCCAATCGACCCTCGGGCCATTAATTACCACCTGTCAATGTTGGATCCGTCTTGCCGGCTACTATTTAGGGCCTGCACCGACCAATTGGCCCAAAGAATTTGGTCAAAATTAATGAAGATAACCGCCAAAAACTTACAGAGTTGGGCAAGACCCATGCGCGACCTTGATGCTTTGGGTTTTTTGTTTGTTTTATTTTGTTTGTATGAAAGTCAAGGTCGAGTTTTGTGTTATATATTGTATACCCATTTGAATATTGTCTCTGATAGTTTCAATACCCTTGCAAAGGTTAAGGCACAATCGATGGGATGTTTGCCCAAGGGAGCGGGAAGCAAACCTGATTTTTATTAGAAGGAAGGAAGCCTCAAGAAGAGCTCACTTTCTCATACACAACCGTACATACATACATATTTATGTTTCCCAATAGCTCCACTTAATCTGCAAGTGTATCTCAAGCTTCGGTCATTGATGGTTTTTTTTTGTTGCCAGTTGATTAGCATTTGCTGAGGGGCTTTTATTTTTTGTTTTTGATTACATTTTGAGGGTTCATTTTAATTGTTTTTGTCTATTGAATTTTGCAGACAATCATTGTGGCAGGGGAGGTGCAGTGCATGCGTAAGTGTGAGTGCAAGTAAGTGTAGGTTAGGAATTATTCAAACTCTGGCAAAAAATAAGTGTTTTGGGTATATAAACTGGACTATGGCTGCGCGCGGCACCTTAACGATTCCGTGGTAGTGGAGCACAGTTTTAGCAGTCATTTCCACAGCGTCCTCCATCACCACGTCGCCGGTCAATGTCTGCTTGACGGCCACGCCGTGCAGAAAGCGACGGACACCCTCCACGACGGCTGGTATTTCCAGCTTCAATAACGTGACTGGCCGACAAACCTTCCCGTGTCAGGATCGTCGGGGACGCTTGTGAGAACTTTAAAACCAATCGTCTCCCATCTGTAATAGGAGAATGAAATACGTCAACCAACCAATACGCACTTTGCAGAAGATTGAATACAATTGTCACGATTTTCTATTTTGCTTATCTGAAATTCGTTCTGTTCTCGAACAGGTTGAGATTGACTGACAAAATAATACAAATACAAAGCCTATGTAGACTTGTTGTCAAAAGAATACAGTTCGGAAAGGAATGAACAATAATTTATTTTCTGCAAATTGTTTACACATTACCAAAGAGTCTGTAAAACTCGTGCTTTAATATGTTTCTATGTTAAATCTTTCATTACACGACAAATGGATACTCTTAATAATACTCTTGTTTCATCTTTTGTTGGCACTTCTTTCATTTTTGCAGTTTCACAGACAATTAAAATGAAAATAAAAACTTGTCACACGAAGGCTGTAGGGGGTCTCTCTCTCTCTCTCTCTGTTTATTGGCGTTGTTTTTGTATTATTTGTATTTTTAGTAAGTGAATTAATTGCTTCAATCAATGGGCAAGTTCCCAACAGTGTTTATACACTTACTGAACATGAAATTATAGCTCAAATGTTAACTTAAAAACTAACTTTTCCGAATGTACGGCATGTCCTTACCTGTTCTTCGGTTTTCATTGACATTTCAGTTTTAATGGACTTCTCTTCGTGGTAAGCGTAGCAGAGCGAGTGCTTTACTCTATCGTGGGAACGCGTCAGTTGCAGAATTATCCGTTCGCTCATAAATGGGAAATCTAGTGACCAACAAATGTATTTATGCAGCTGCGGTAAAACTAGAAGCAGCAAGCAATAGGGTCAACAAAAATATCAGCAAAGGAAAGAAAAAAAAAAAATAGAGAAAGTTTCTTTGCGAAAGTCGGGGCCATAGATACGCTTTGCAGATATGAATTTCAAGGACAAGGCTTTATTTTCATCTGGAATTTATACACTTTGCCGGACTACATTGTACATATGTATTGTATATATATAGTATATTGGATATTTTATATTGGATTTATGGGTCACGAACATTTTGTGTTTGGTGGCGGAGGATTTAAAGGAAACATGGCTAATATGACACAAAATTAAATAATGGTGAGACAAGTTTAGAAACAAAGGCTACAATTTATGGCAGCAATGTGATTTGCAGAGCACACAGGATTAGCCATACTCGGTATACGGTATTAAGATGAGAGAAATAAGAGGAATATATATATAAAACACACATACATATGTATGTGGGATATGCAAGATAACTTACTGCCGATATTATCGCTAAAATTATAAAAATCCTTAATGCAATGCGCCTTAAATCGCTTGATCTCCTGCACCCAAAGGGCTCTACGGAAGTTAAGCACTTCAGTGGGTCACATGCATATCACAAATGCTGTGCTTTTCGTGCTTTATATTTCGACCTATTTAGGTGCACAGCACTGTAGCTACAGCTGTATGTGCTTTAGATTAGATCGTATATGATCCAGACCTTGTGCTTTAGAAGCGTGGGTGGGAAAAGTAAAGGGAAAAAACCGAAGCTTAGGCCAATGAATTGGGAAAGGTCAGTTAGCTGCGAGACAACAAGTGCATACCAATTTTGAAGAACACGTGCCTATTTTTTTGTTGGTTAAATTCTTCAGGAGAAAAAACATTATAAAACAGCAGTGCATCGTTGCTAGCCGCACTAAAGCAGAAGATATAATCTGAGTGCAATAATACGTGCTTATCGGAAATATTGATCCAAAACTGATCCCTACTTCCCATGAGGTTAATTACCTTGATAGGTGAAAGTTTTAAAGGTGTCTAACGTAGTGATTTTCCTAGGGGCATGGTGCACATGCTAAGGCAGTCTTGGCCGATTTGTGTTCTGGTTTATATAAATCTTTCTTCGGAATTAAACCCAGTTGCACGACCGAAAGGTAATTTTTCCTATTATGTAACACACATGACATGTGGACTAATAAAATTTTGTGTTTTCTGAAAGGGTCTTTGTTATATGCCAATTAAAGGCTAAGTTTGCTTCGGTTTGCGCCCATATACATACATCATTGATTGGAGATCTAGCTCCAGAGAAGTTTTCTAGAGGTGTTTTCATGGACCTTTTTTTGACCTTGGACGAGCGCAAGTGTGCATACCAACAGACAGTCAACACAATAAGGATGGATGAATGAAACGGATTTACTTAGTGATACGAATACATACATACATATATTTATACATAATTCTTTTTTATGATTTCTTTCACTTTTCTTTAACTTTATACACATTGTACATACTGTTAATGTTCTTAGCTAGGTGGAACATCAATGCATGCAGGCCTGTTGCAGCGATGGAGTGAAATATGTAAGCCACCATATTAATGCTTTGTTCTATATTTTCTTTATCATATATAACGTTTAACCTACATACATCCATTTTTTTTTTTTTTTAGTATTTTTTGAGGTGTGGAGATTTTCATAGCGTACAACAATTTGTACTTTGATTAATTCACAACACAGTTTGTTTGATTATGTTAGTTTCTTTATTTGCCATGCAAGGCGAGTGGGAATAGTATTGGCAAGAGTTAGCAACAGGAGGACCCGTGGTGGACCGTGTTGAAGCGAGAACAATAATGGGTTTTTGTATAAAAGGTAATAACGATGTAGCAGGTCACTGTGCCAACCGACGATATGTTGTACGTTTGATGATGCTAGATTTCGAAGTGTCTCTGCTGCGCAGACGAGCCTCCCTCACAGCCTTCGTCGGCTGACGATTTTCGGGAAGGGGAAAATGACTCAAGAGCGCAGAGTCAGGTAGGCAATGTTGTGCATAAGAGCTTAGCTCTGCTCTCTTTGCGCTGCCATGGGCCCGGCGCTTAGCCGAACATTCTCCCCCGTTGAAGAGCACGGGTCTTCGACATCCTTCTTTGGCAGCATACACAGCTTTGCGATAGCCCTCGTGGTGCTCCCAGTAGCCGTTTTGAGCTCAGCTACCCTGGAAACGCCATCTCTGCAGGCGATCAGTTTCGTCACCCTTCCCAGCGGCCACTTAAGTGGAGGCAAGTTCTCGTTCTTTACGAGGACCACGTCGCCGACGCTGAGGTTAGGCTGCTCAGTCCTCCATTTTGCCCTCTCCTGCAGAAGCGTGAGGTACTCCTCTCGCCAGCGGGACCAGAAAGTCTGCTGCAGGAAGTTGACCTGCTGCCAGCGATCAAGACGATTGAAGTTGAGTCCGGTCACATCTGGTTCTGCGAAGGTACGGATTGGAGCAGTACCTAAGAAATGCGCAGGTGTTAGCATGTCTAAATCGTCAGGATGCTCTGAAATGGGAAGCAATGGCCTTGAGTTTATTATGGCAGTGATATGGCACACAAGCGTTCTCAGGTCATCAAAGCACAGCAAGGAGCTGGAAGCGGAACGGTAGAAATGATGTTTGGCTATTTTAACCGCAGCCTCCCAGAGTCCGCCAAAGTGGGGAGAGCGAGGGGGAATAAGCCGCCAGTCAATATGATCCGCAACGCAAAACTCCTGAACTTCCTTCATATGTCTTTCTGCCAGGAACAGCTTCTTCAACTCTGCCAACTCGTTCTTTGCTCCCACAAAGTTAGTTGCGTTATCGGACCAAATTTCCCTGGGCCGACTGCGAGTTAAAATGAATCGCTTTAGAGCGCTTATGAACGCTGGCGTCGATAGATCCTGCACAAGCTCCAAGTGAACGGCCTTGGTGGCAAAGCATATGAAGAGGCATATGTAGCATTTTAGGGGTGGTCTGGTCCGCACCTCTTATAAAAGAACGGACCACAAAAATCCACACCGGTGACTGCAAAAACGTACGACGCATTCACACGATCCTTCGGCAAGTCGGCCATAATATGCTGCAGCAGGCGCGGCTTGGCCTTAAAACATCTGGTGCAGCGATTTACGACGCCCTCCAATCGGCCAATACTCATGCCGAATAAGTGCGAGCAATGACCGAGGCCCAGCGTACAAATTCTGCTCATGGACATGCACAATTACAGCAGATGTGACGGGATGACGCCTTGGAAGAATGACTGGGTGCCGTGCGTTGAAATCAAGTGATGAATTTTCCAACCGCCCACCGACGCGTAACAAGCCATGGTCATCCAGGAACGGCGCGAGTGACGAGATAGAGCTAGACGACTGCACCTGCTGTTCGTCACGCAGAGTCTTGTAGTCAGGCCACAAATGCACTCGCTGAATCGAACAAAGAAGTATCCGCGTACCACCAACGATGTCAGCTACTGTTAATCCGGACGACCTTTTGCGCTGCAGAAACTTGAATACGTATCCAAATGTGCGCTGGATCTTTCCGAAGGAATTGGAGAACTTTCGGCCGTCAGATAAGTCTACGAATGGACAAACTGCAATCAGGACTCTCTTGCGCAACTCCAGTGTTGGCGCGGATTGAATAGACGCTGCTGGCCACAGAGGTTGCTCATCTTGAAGAAAGGGTGGCCCGTGGGCCCAAAGATGCGATTCCAGAAGCTCTGACGGCGAAGCGCCTCTGGACAATATGTCAGCAGGGTTCTGGGCGGTGGGCACGTAGCGCCACTCCATCTGAGCAGTCCGCTTTTGAATGGCTGAGACCCGATTTGCAACGAATACGTTAAAGCTTGATGAGTCATGGCGCACCCAAGACAAGGCAGTTGTGGAGTCCGACCAGCAATAGAAGCTTCTAGTGAAAATTTAAGTTGCTGTATCTCACTGATCAATTGAGAAAGCAAGTCAGCGCCACATAGCTCCAACTCGGGCACCGTCAATACCTTAAGAGGGGCGACACGAGACTTCGCACACAGAAGTTGCACGTGCGCGCGATTATTTGTCCTTGACACAACGTAAATACATGCTCCATAGGCATCTAGGCTGGCGTCACAAAACCCGTGAACTTCCACTGTTGAATTGGGGAGAACTGACAAACGAGGAAATCTAAACAGCTGAGGGGTGGACAAACTCTCGCAGAAAATGGTCCACGCTGATGAAAGAGACTCTGGCAAACTCTCATCCCATTGGAGCTGCTCCTTCCATACCAACTGAAGGAAAATCTTTGCCTTTGCGATGACAGCCCAATCAGTCCTAAAGGATCATAAAAACGAGCAATCGTTGACAACATTGAACGCTTCGTCGGCTTTGATGGCAGCTGCGTGGGTACTACCGAAAAGAGAAAATTATCAGATGAAGGCTCCCAAACCAATCCAAGAGCCTTTGTGAAGTCGGTGCCATCGTCGAACCTTAGCAGCGTTTCCTTATCCTTGTCAGGAATTCCCTCAAGTACGCCAGGGACGTTGGAGCACCATTTCCGAATTGGGAACCTTCCCCGAGCCAATAACTGGGATGTCTGCCTCATCTTTTCGCGCACTTCCTCTACTGATCCTCCTCCAATCATCAAATCGTCGGCATAGAAATTGGAGGTCAACACTTCCGAGCCAATGGGAAATGCAGTCCTCTCTTCTTCTGCCAATTGGAGCATGGAACGAATTGCAAGATAGGAAGCCGGTTTGGTTCCATATGTTACGGTGTCGAGCTTGAACGCCTTCACATCCTCGTGAGGGGAATCCCTCCATAAGATGCACTGCAGGTAATTGTCCGGCTCAGATACTCGGACACACCTGTACATCTTGCAAATGTCACCAGTCAGCGCAATGAGGAACGTACGAAAACGAAGCAGCGTATGTAGCAGCTTTGGCTGGATAGTAGGCCCCGCCATTAGGACCTCGTTTAACGAAAAACCTGTTGATGTTGTGGCAGATCTATCGAACTGCGGGACGTGTTCGATTGTGGTCGTGCTGTCCTCCTTAAACACGCAATGATGCGGTAGAAAATAGCGACAACGACTGAGCAGTTCTGATTCCACCAACGACATTTGATTAAGCTCTTGGTACTCCCTAATGAAAGATGCGTACTGAGCCTTCAGCTGCGGATGACGCTTAAGTTTCCGCTCCAAGTTGAGGAACCGCCGATATGCTTGCGTGTATGAGTCGCCCAAGATCTCCAAACTTTTCTTGATGGGCAGCTTCACGGTAAACTCTTCAGATGACAGGCGCGAGAAATTTGCTTTGAAGTGATCTTCACAATCGACATCCTCCTGCTTGACCATCACCGAATCTTCAGTGGAACTTTCTACCTCCCAGAAACGCCTCAGTAACAGTTCCACTTGATCAAGAGACTCCTGCCTGGCGTCAGATGAGGCCTGAGCCCCAAGTAAAGCTGTCCTACGCGTTTGCTGACCACCTCCTGAAACCACCCATCCAAGGCGAGTCTTCTGAAGCGATGGCAAGCCAACATCCAATTTGATTTGGCCAATGCACAGCAGCTCGAAGAATAGGCTAGCCCCAATGAGCAGGTCAATACGCTGTGGCCTGAAGAACTGCGGATCTGCCAATGGTAAATTCGGCAGAATTTTCCAACCAGAAACGTCAACTGAAAAGCTGGGCTGCTGCTCGGTGATTGTGGGAGCTACCAACGCGACGAAACTGGTACTGTAGTCAGAGGCTTGGGACTGCAAGTTGAGTCCCACAGTATAGCCCTCCCATACAAAACTGGAATCCCCAAGACCCGATACTGCGGCCGACGACATGGTCCTTTTCAGTCTAAGTTGTTGGGCGAGGCTGGAGGTTATAAGGTGCATTTGTGATCCGGAGTCCAAGAGTGCCCGACATGGTACGAGCGATCCAGCACGATCCCTTAGCAGAACAACTGTAGTGGCTAAGAGCACAACATCCCTGCAAGAGTTCTGTGCAACCAGAGAGGCAGCTGAGGACTGTGGCTGCGCTTCAGGGTGCGGGAATGTAGAGACAACGGGTTCCGTGGGCGAGGGTCTGGCGTTTAAATGCAATAACGTGTGATGTTTGCTACCACAGTGACGACAAGTTGATGACCTGCAAGTGCGCAATTGATGGCCAGCCTTCAGGCAATTCAGGCAAAGACCAAGCTTTTTCACCTCAATTAGGCGAAGGGACGGCGAAAGATTCCCAAACAGCGCGCATGTATATATGCTATGGCCAGCAGTATTGCAAAATAGACACTCAAGAGAGACAGACTCAGTGGCTACAAATGAACTTCTAGGGTTGCTCTGTACTTTTTTTATCTTTCCCACCTGAATGCCAGGCGTATACATTGGCATAGCATGCTCCCGATTCTCCAACTTCTGACATCTTTGCACCAGAAAAGCGGTGAATTGTTGGCTTGTGGGTATGCTGTCCAGCGATGACGTTTCCTCCCACTTGGCTTGCGTAGCGCTTTCCACCTTCTGCAGCAGGCTGTGTATCAAGATACAGTCTGCAATCTGCTCCATTGTTCCCATACTCTGCAAAGCCCGAAGATTAGCATTCACAGTGTCCGACAAAGACCGAAGTTGCGACACAGACGAAGACTCTACGCGCGGAACACCCAGAATGTCCGTGACATGCGCCTGAAAAATTAAACGTTTGTTATTAAAACGCTTATCAAGGAGGTCTAGCGCGATGGGATAGCTGGCGTGCGTGAGCTCTAGAGACGAAATAGTGTCTAGTGCTGGTCCTTTCAGGCAGGAACGCAGGTGCTGCAGCTTCTCCACATTTGACAAATCGGTATCCTTGTCTATTATGAAGGAAAACATGCTCCAAAACGAGGAATACTGAGCGTAGCCACCACTGAACTCAGGAAGCTTCAACTCCGGCAGGCGTGGCCGACTTTGCACTACGACCGTAGTTGGGGCCTCTCCTACATGGTCCGTCCGCATTGTTGAGCATGGTAGCATTGTGGTCTGCCGCTTGTTTAACTCCCGTTTCATGCGAATCTCCAGCATGACCACACACTCGTCAAACTCCTCCCTCAAGGGACTACCGATCTCATCGAGATCAATCCTCTCCAGGGCATTATGGTGCTCGTTGAATGAAACTACAAGCTCCGCTAGCAATTTCAGCCTCACGTTCAGCTCCTCCTCACTGAGCTCGCCAATTCTCTCCTTGCTAACGGCCGTTTCGATTCTCCGTGCTGCCCCTACCATGGATTGCACCTTGCGCTTGTAGAATGCAGCTTCCGAATCGACGAACAATGGTGAGGGGGGCAAGAGTGAGGGGGTGCTATTAGAAGCCATTGGGTAGGTTTACGACGCACTGGGTTACAGTTTCTGAAGCACGGAGAGGTTAATAACCGGTGAATAACCTCGAACAGTTTGGTGGGAACTGTACACTCGATCGCAGCGCTCAAACACACGGGCTCACAGTTCTACAGGCCAGCAGCGAAAGTTCACAGTTTTAAAAGAACTGAGTAGGTGCAGCTGACAACAACAATGGCATGCACACTTAGAGCACCGAAAACCGAAACGAAACAACCGCAAGACAAACCGCAAAGCAGATGACGCGAGAACCGTTTATGTTGCTTGTGCACAAACGCCGAATCGAAAAACCGTGGTACAAAGCGAATTAAACAACCCACAAGTGTCATTTGCGAGGCATATATATGTGTATATATATAAATATATATCGATTATATCACGTCGGGGTCACCAAAATGTTGAGCTATTGAGATTTTTCAATAGCGTAGAGTTAAATCGGCAATTTGTACTTTGATTAATTCACAACACAGTTTGTTTGATTATGTTAGTTTCTTTATTTGCCATGCAAGGCGAGTGGGAATAGTATTGGCAAGAGTTAGCAACAGGCGGACCCGTGGTGGACCGTGTTGAAGCGAGAACAATAATGGGTTTTTGTATAAAAGGTAATAACGATGTAGCAGGTCACTGTGCCAACCGACGATATGTTGTACGTTTGATGATGCTAGATTTCGAAGTGTCTCTGCTGCGCAGACGAGCCTCCCTCACAGCCTTCGTCGGCTGACGATTTTCGGGAAGGGAAAATGACTCAAGAGCGCAGAGTCAGGTAGGTAAAAGCTTAGCTCTGCTCTCTTTGCGCTGCCATGGGCCGGCGCTTAGCCGAACACTATTGTTCTTGTCTTTAGTTTTGCAACCATATCATTTATTGAGAAAATATATTGAGGATTTGGTTGAGAAACCCCCAATTGAACACCCAATAACGGCCAGGATAGCAAAACAACAGAAAGACCAAAAAGAAGAAAGACATATGCTTCTTTAGAATGCAAGCCATTTACATAAAGCATTTTTAAATTTTTTTCTTGAGTACTTAAAAGATTTGGAGACTTGTTAAAAAACGTAAAAATTTTAACTGAAATTAAAAAAAAACAACAACAGAATTTCTGTAATATTTGACCCTAGAATTATTACCTGAATTTTAAAGCAATTTGGTACGAATATTACCTGATAGGAGCTCATGGTACTTCTCTATATCTGTCAGTTATAAGTACCAATAATGATGCGATGATGCTAACCGTGTCTTTATATTAAGCGTTCATTTTGTAGCTAACCATTCTGTAAGCTGCATATCACTTTCCTCCTTTAATAATAATATTTAAATAAATATACTCGGAATATTGGAGCAATGGAATAGTTATAGTACATGAAGCATTGTTAATGTGTGTTTGTATGTGTGTGTGATTTGGTATGCATAAGGTTCATAAACCGTTTACAAATTTGTCGTCGAAAGTAGAACTTGAACCAGATGGACTGTGGAGAGGGTTTCCTGGTAAGAGATGGGCATGGACTGCAATTTTGCGACACGACCCAATACGACACGAAAATGAAAATTTTCAACACGCACTAGCACGCACGGCTAAAAAATTTCCGAACACGGTCCAACACTGTCCAACACGAATTATTATACTTTTTCTCCATACCTTTATTAACATCGATTTTAATTACATATACGTTTTTATGAACATATTTTTGTATAAAAATAACAATTTATCAAGGTTAGAGCTTAATAAGCGTGTACGGCGTTCTTTTAATATTTGTCCCGAAGTAGAAAACACCCTCCCGCTTGTAACCGAGCTGGCCGGAATATTTAATATTTTTCTAGCTAAAAGCTGTAATGTTATTAGCATTCTTCCAAAATTTTAGTACATTTCTATCCTGCAATGAAACTTTAGTTTTTTGTTTGTTCGTTGTGTTTTTTCGTGCCGATTTTGCTCTGCACGAAAACGCACACCCATAGACAAAATTTAATTTTTTAACACGCCCACGCGGGCGCCCATCGTGTCACGACGTGACACGAAGAAAACACGGTCCATGCCCACCTCTAGGAAATTCCTACGTCGAGCAAATGAGGGTCTGAAGACACGGCGACAGCCTCTGTTGATTGCAGTTGTAGAGAATGAGTGAACAGGCAGTGATGGTATTGTTTCTTATACTGATTTTATTTAACAAACTTAAATTCTATTTATAGGTAACAAAAGGTACAGAAAGTGCTGAGTCTAGTAAGAATATGGTAAAAGGGGATTGGAATTAATATTAAATTAATTTGGATTTAATATGATATTGTGTTATTGGGCAATTGTGATAGTCAGCTATTGCACCAGTGTTAAAGTTAAGTTAGTATTGGCAAGAGTTAGCAACAGGCGGACCCCTGGTGGACCGTGTTGAAGCGAGAACAATAATGGGTTTTTGTATAAAAGGTAATAACGATGTAGCAGGTCACTGTGCCAACCGACGATATGTTGTACGTTTGATGATGCTAGATTTCGAAGTGTCTCTGCTGCGCAGACGAGCCTCCCTCACAGCCTTCGTCGGCTGACGATTTTCGGGAAGGGGAAAATGACTCAAGAGCGCAGAGTCTGGTAGGTAATGTTGTGCATAAGAGCTTAGCTCTGCTCTCTTTGCGCTGCCATGGGCCGGCGCTTAGCCGAACACTATTGTTCTTGTCTTTAGTTTTGCAACCATATCATTTATTGAGAAAATATATTGAGGATTTGTTTGAGAAACCCCCAATTCAACACCCAATAACGGCCAGGATAGCACAAAACAACAGAAAGACGAATATGCTTCTTTAGAATGCAAGCCATTTACATAAAGCATTTTTAAATTTTTTTCTTGAGTACTTAAAAGATTTGGAGACTTGTTAAAAAACGTAAAAATTTTAACTGAAATTAAAAAAAAAACAACAACAGAATTTCTGTAATATTTGACCCTAGAATTATTACCTGAATTTTAAAGCAATTTAGTACGAATATTACCTGATAGGAGCTCAGGCAGTGATGGTATTGTTTCTGATACTGATTTTATTTAACAAACTTAAATTCTATTTATAGGTAACAAAAGGTACAGAAAGTGCTGAGTCTAGTAAGAATATGGTAAAAGGGGATTGGAATTAATATTAAAAAATTTGGATTTAATATGATATTGTGCTATTGGGCAATTGTGATAGTCAGCTATTGCACCAGTGTTAAAGTTAAAAAAAAATACTAAACATTTTTAGTATCACATGTTTGTAACGCCATGTTTAACCAATTGAGTTGAAATTTTTAGAGAAGAGTTATATTCTTATATTTTAAATCATATAAAAAAAATCAGTCCGATCAGAGCGATATAAGGTATAGCTTCCATACAAACATTGTCAAAATATCGTATTTTTTTTAACTTTGACCTCAAGTCTGCACCTCTAAACGTATTCCAATCGGGCTTAAACTTTTTATTTTATTGTTTCATAACAAAAGAAACATTTTAAGACCCTGAGACCTTTGAAATTCAGAAATTTCGAAAATAAGCGCCGCCATGTACATATACCCTTTTTGAGGGCTTAACAACAATATGAACACGTACGTTACTCTCTCTCTCTCTCTATGTGTGTGCATGTGTGTGGCTGCCATGCTGATTATTATTGTTATTATTGTGCAGGGGTTTCGGGGGCTATCTATGCCCCAGTCAGTAGACTGGGCAATGCAGGAGGTGGTGACGACTTCAATGCTAGCTGCAGTGGGATCTGCAGCGCGGATGTTGCAGTATTTTAGCTGCCTCGGGCTAGAGCTGGACAATTCAACGCGCTGCGACGCAAACGGGATGGGACCCCGCCCTGTTGCTATGCTCGACCACGGCACAGAGCAGATAACGATGCGGTATTTAACATAAAACGTTTTGCTTATTGCCTTGCCTGTCCCCCCCCCCCCACCACCACCTTTGTTTTTGCGCTGCCTGACCACTCCTTCTCTGCTGCTGCTGCTCATTGCACTGTTCTGCAGTTCTGCAGCTCTCTGTTTTTGTTATTTTTATACCCGTACTCAAAAAAGAGTTAAGGGGTATATTAGATTTGTGGTAAAAGTGGATGTGTGTAACGCAGAGAAGGAAACGTTTCCGACCCCATAAAGTATATATATTCTTGATCAGCATCAATAGCCGAGTCGATATAGCTATGTCTGTCTGTCTGTCTGTCTGTCTGTCTGTCTGCCTGTCTGTCTCGATGAGCGCCTAGATCTCAGAGACTATACGAGCTAGGGCAACCAAATTTGGTTTCCAGACTCATGTGATATCCCACTGCTACAAGTGTATTTCAAAATTTCGCCCCGCCCCCTTCCGCCCCCACAAAGAACGAAAATCTGTGGCAGGCACATTTTTTAAGATACGGTAACACTAAAAACGCAGTATCGTAGAGAATGCCCATATCTACCAGACTGCTGAATCTGAATCAGATCGGTTCATAGCCAGAATGACGAAATTAATTTTCAGTTGCTTCCCCTGCCCCCCCCTCCCGCAAACGACAACGCAACTCA